AATTTCTCTGCTTATTCTAAGGTCACAAAACTTTTTTCTTTTCTAGGTTTTACAGTGCTAGTTTTTACTAGCACTATGACCTATTTTGAGTTAATTTCTGAATATGGTGCAAAAATAGATCAAAATTCATTTTTGCATATGGATATTCAATTGTTCCAACATCATTTTTGGCGGGGGTGGTTTTGAGACAGGGTCTCACTATGTAGTTGAGACTGACCTGGAACTCACTATGTAGCCCAGGCTGTTCTTGAACTCACAACGATCCTCCTGCCTCAGCCTCCTGAGTGCTGGGATTACAGGCGTGCACCACCACACTCAGAAATCATTTGTGAAAGACTGAAGTTTGTCCACTGAACAGACTCTGCACTTTTGTTAAAAATCGGTTGATCACATATACATGGGTTTATATCTACAGTTTATTTATTTATTTATTTACTTATATTTTTGGAGCCAGGGACTGAACTCTGGTCCTTGTGTTTGCAGCGGCAGAACCACTGAGCAAAATCTCCAGCCTAAGTCTATTATTTTTTGATGTTGTTTGTATATGTCTATCTTTGCCCAGTACAAAACTATCACCTTTACCATAGTTCTGTAGTCTAGCCCTCCAACTTTCTTCTTTTGAAAAGATGTGTTTGTTATTCTGAGTCCTTCATTGTCATATGAATTTTGGAATCAGTTTGTCAATTTACACAAAGAAGGAAATGTGACTGTGATTGAGGCTATAATTAAGGGAGGGGAAGCTGACTTATTAACAATATTGAGTATTCCATGAATATATCATCATGTTTTCTTTGTCTCAACAATATTTAACAGTTTGCAGTTTGCAGGTATTTCATATTATTAGATTTATCCCTAAATATTTCATATTTTTGATGCTACTATACAAGGTCTTGTTTTGAATTTCACTTTTCAATTGTTTGTTGTTAGTGTATAGAAATACTGTTGTGCTTTGTATATTGGTCTTGTATCTTATAACCTTGTTACACTCATTTGTTAGTTGTAGTAGTTTTTGTTTTGTTTTGCTTTTTGATTTTGTTTACAAATAAATTTGACTTGGATTTTCTACATAAATAATCAGGTCACCTGAGGGTAAAGAAGACATTTTAGATTTGCCTTTTAAAAAGGAAATATCTTTGTGTGTGTGTGTGTGTGTGTGTGTGTGTGTGTGTGTGTATGATACCAGGGATCAAACTCAGGACCTTGTGCTTGCTAGGTGTGGTGTCTACAACCCCAGCCCTTGATTTCTTTTTTCTTGCACTGACTAAAACCTCTAACGCTGAACAGAAGCGAGGGTGGACATCTTCTTGTCTTCTTTCTGATCTTAACGGAAAAGCAGTCCATCTTTTACTATTAAAAATGATGTTAGCTATACATTTTTCATAGATACACTTTCTCAGGTTACGGAAGCTCTCTCCTATTCCTTGCTGAGATTGTACCAGAGCCAATGTTAAAATTTGTCAAATTATCTTTCGACTGAGATGACAGTTTTCATTTTTAGTCAGTAAATTCAGTGAACTTTCAGGCTGCAGGCTGGAATCGTCAGTTTCTTGTCATGTGGTCCTCCACCAGGCAGCTTACAATGTGGCAGTACACAGTGAACCAGGGGAAGAGATCTCCAAGATGGAAATACAATCTTTCTGTGACCTAGTATCAGAAGTGACATCTCATTAATAAGCAAGTCAGTAAGTCCAGCCTGTATTCAAGGAGATTTCACAGGAGGGTGGCTACCTGGAGTCGAGAAATACTGAAGAACATTTTACAGGCTGCCTAGCTTAGCCCTATATTTCCTTATTATCTTCTAATGTTTATAGAATCTATAGTAAAGTCACCTCTCCCACTGCTCATTTAGGTAATTGCACCCCCTTCAGTTAGAGGTTGATTGATGCTATTAATTTTCATAAAGCTATTGATTTTACTGATTTTTTTTTCTATTCTGTTTTTGTTTGCTATTTTATCCATTTCCACCGATCTTGATTTAATTTCTTTTTTCCTAATATGGAGGTTAGTGTTATAAATTTCCCCTATGAGTATTCAAATTTTGATGCATTTTCATTTTCATTCAGTCCAAACTACATACTATATTCCCTTTTGATTTGACCATGAATTGGTGTTTTGAGTTTCTGAATATTTTAGGACTTTCCACAGGTCTTTGTATTATTGATTTCTAATTTAATTTTATTGTGTTAAAAGTATATGAGTTTTATGATTTGAGTCCTTTTAATGCTTTTTTTGGAGACAAAGACTTGCTATATACTTCAGGCTGGCTTTAAACTCACTATGTAGCCTAGGATGGCCCAAAAATTAATGAAACTTCTTCTATGACCCAGAATATTATTTTCCTTGGTAAATATTTCATGTATACTTGAAAACAATGGTCTGCTGTTGTTGGGAGGAGGTCAAATTGGTTGATGGTATTGTTCAAATTTCCTATATCTGGACTGATTTTCTGATGTAGAATATTGTAAAATTTTTATCAAAAATACCATATCTGCAACTGAACTTAAACATAATTGTACTATTTTTATTAAAACATTTTTCCTTCTCTGGCAGGTGCATGTGTATTCATGTGTGTGAATGTGCGCACACACACACACACACACGTTTAGAGATCACAGAGATGAAATGAGGTTGTGATCTGATTGTGATGTTGCATACTTGAACAAATTTTTATTCAACAAATACTTTTGAAAATGGGTTATTTTATCTTTCCTGTCTGACTTACAGGCTATTTTGTTGCAATGTATTTTTATTAAGTGTCTCTTATTATTTTATTCTTTATGCCAAGTCATGTTCCCACCGCAAACAAAACAGGCAAGAAAATCTTTAACACAATGATGCATAGATTTCTACTTAATGTTATTTACTGGTGTTTCTTTTAAAAGAATGTATAAATGATAAGCCTGCATTTTTCAAAATTGTGTGTAAAAATAATAGCTTAGAAGAAATTTATGCTGGGTCCATAACACTCAAAACATATTTAACTTTGTAACAAGAATCCTACTAAAACAATAATTATCCCAATTAAAATGCTAGTGAGTGCTCAGTGAATATCCACTACCCTTTGTATCTGGGATCTCGGCTAATTTCTGTAACCTTAACCTGAAGATGTAGGTCAGTATTTATCTCTAATAGATAACACTGTCATCAAAATTAAAAGCATGCTCTGAATCAGTGCTTTCTTCAAAAAATCAAGTAAAGTGTTAAAACAAAAGGTAAAAATGTCCTTTGCTTCTTCATCCACGACAGCTTCATAGTCAGGAAAGACATGACCCTTAAAGCCATTAAATAGGCCACTACATACACTACAGGAAGGCAGTGCTATAGTACTGTATTCTTGGCTCAGGGTTTCATTTTTTAACTATGAAAACGCTTGCCTTTGAACAATTTAAACTACTGGCCTGCTTGAGGAAATATTACATGTGCAGCAATGACATCCTTTTTAATTCTTCAGCAGAGTATTAATTTGCATCATAGAAATGTGTTGCAGCTGAAAAGTCCATTTCACACTTCTTTAATCTCAAAATGCATGATTGTTTTTTCTCCCTAGCTATTTTCTTGGCAGCTGTCACCATTAGGATTTTAATATCCCTCCTCCTAAGATCACTGAATTTGTATTTACAAACTGAGCACCTGTTGTGTTCCAGATCTGTTCAAAATGCTGGAGGCCCAGTGGTGAGCACAACAAGCCAAGCTCCTGTTCTCAAAGACTTTATGCTCTGGTTGGGGATAATGATTTTAAAAAAGCAATTCAATAATACCAAGTATTATGAAGAGACTACAACAGGGAAATGTGGTAAGAAACAAGACAGGGGCTGAATGGCCATAGGGTAGAGAGGCCACTTTAGAGAGGATGGTCAGAGAAGACTTTTCTGAGGAGGTGATACTACAGCCGAGGCTTACAAGACGAGAAACAACTGGTTGTAGAAGATCTGGGCAAGAGAGCCAGGCAGAGGGAACAGCAAAGGGATAGAAGGCACAAAGGCCATGAGATGAAGGTGAACTTGCCCTGCTTGAGGAATAGAATGAAAAGTGGCTACGGCAGCCTAGGAAATACCCTCAGGTCAAGTGCCACATGTCACTGCCATATTGAGTTTGACCCAGCCATACAAGTCACTGGTAGTAGTTAACAATTCCCTGTTCTCAATGTCTAACATGGCAAATAGCACCCCCAAATGCCTGCCAGACAAATATAACTCACTGATCCTTATCTGAGCGCCAAATCCACAGGCAATGGAGCCCAACACACTTGATCACCAGGAGGTGGAAGGCTGGAGGGGGGCGGGATGAGTCTGGCCTCTGGGAGGAGTAGATAAATTCTGAGAGTGGGCTCCAACTTTCTAGTTGTCAGCTGTGGGCTAGGGTGAGAGCGCTGGAGAGTGGCTTCCCAGGAGGCAGGTGGGAAAGAGGGCAGGACAATGGTACAGTGTTGAGGTGGAAGAGATGTGATGGGCCCCAAGGGAAGACTCAAAGAGCAGCAGAGATAAGACTGTAAGCAAGCCACCGCTTTACTTCTGTGCCTGACATGGGTACCCCAGACACTTACCCTGAGAAGCTAGCGACTTCCCAGCCCACAAGAACTGTCCCCAGAACAGCCAGGCAGTAAAGCTTCACTGCTTTTGGTGCAAACCTTCATCCACTCACGATTGATTCCATTGTGCTGTCCACAAACTTTTATGTTGGTTTGGAAGTTTTCAACAGCCTCTCTTGTCCATGTAAATATCTCATCTCAAAAGCATTGCACTCTCCTTTATGGGGAGAAACTTTTTTATTTCTTCACTGGACATCCTGAGAACAGCTAGCACAATATTGGGCTATACCTTTCTCTTCTTTAGAGGGAACCACACTACAAGGCCAACAGTGTTTCAGCTGGACCTTCTCAAATGGCTCAGTGCCATAGTGGGAGGCCAGCTTTGCTAATTTTGGCTCACCGCTTGTGGCACTGAAATGAAACCAATGCTTTAGGCTATGAGAGAGGAACAACCGGGCATGGGGCTGCTTACCTGTTCTTCCTGCAGCGAATTGTGAAGGCAAGAAAGAAGAGCATCAAAAGTAATCCACAGCTGAGAAAAGTCCAGACAATACCCAAGAGGGCAGGAGATAATGAAGAGATGGTACTGCTGCTGTCCTGGAAAGTGGCCTGAAGCCAGAATACAGAGAAGATGTTAGGAATAACACCAAAGCATACCTGGGCAATTCCGCCTCTTCGTCCTCTCCCCTCCTCATCCCACCAACATACACATCTGAGCAGTCCTAATATTCCTTGGCTACTCACTTACAATTCTTGTCCTGCAGAGATCATGAAGGGGTCTTCGATCCAGCTCCTGGCCTGGAAAACTGTCACAGAACTTGGAGCAGTTTATTTCAGGCTCCATGTCACCACATGTTTTCTTGGTGGGCACTTATTCACAGTCTTGGTTACCCACTGGCTGAGATGTGGACCTTCGACTAAAACACAAGAGCAACCTGGATCTTTCTTTCAGGCATCCCATTTTGGAGTTGGCTCTGGGTGCAGAATCCAGGATAAACAACCAATTCAGGGAGAAGCGAAGGGTTATTTCAGTAGGCTTCTTCATCAGACATACTCCAACATCAGACATTCTTCAGCTGGTCCCTGCTGCCCATTGTACTGTGTTAGCCAGGTGGGCAACTCAAAGTGACAATTCTGGCTCACCACCAGAGGGCAGTCACTGCCCCACGGACTCACTCTGGGCCCTGATGGAAGGAAAGCAATTAGGCCCATTAGCAAGCAATCTCTCACCCTCCCTCCCTCCCTCCCACATATACAGGTTTAAAAATATTTTGTTTCCATTTTATGTCGTTATATCTATTATGTATAATTATATATATGCATATATTACAAATTTAATGTTTTAATAAATATTTTAAACCATGATAATAAAAACTACTTTAAAAACAAAGATAAAGCACATCTATGAATTTCTAAGTGAAAATCTCTACATTCTCTGTTGAGGCCCTTTCTATGGCCAAGCACCGCAAAAACTTTACTTGTGACTTCTAAGGTACATCTTTCTGTTTCCCCTCTTGGAAACCCTGAGCTTCTCCAAAATCTTTCCATGTAGCTCCTGGCTTAAGCTCTCTTTGATCCTGGGTGGCCTGGCTGTCTCCATATGTGATCTGTTGGTCTTTAGCGCCTGTCCTTTCAGCCTTAGAACATTCTCTGTCCAGTCAATTGGGACTGCCCAAAGATCTTGCTTGCTTTTTTAAAAAAGCATTACATTCAGAGAGGAGAGATTACTCAGGTAATAATAGTGAGAGGAGCTGGGAAGCTGTAGAAATTTCTACTGATTGAGTGGCTGAGGATGGTGTTCTCTCAACCGGTTCTTGCAATATGAATATCATGAATTAAAAAGCTCAACTTTTTGCAGATCAAAGACAAAAAATTCAAACTGGTACCAGTAGAAAAAGTGGACATATCCCTAATTCTTTAAAGCAAATCCCCTTGACAGAAAAAATAGATATGAAATTTTACTGAGAAAATTTAAGAGGATGCCACTGCTGCTTCGTGTTTTTGAAACAACGTAGAACAGTATTCTGTGATTATAGAGGACTGAACAAAAATATTATTATTATTTCAATAGCCACTGAACACAGGGCCCATATTTAAGCCAGAACAATAGTGACAGGTGTAGAATGCCATCTTTGGGCTGTGCGTGTTTAGGCATGAACAATATAGCACCAGGTGTCGCCCATTCATTGGCCTCTAATACATTCCTGAATTATTTACCAGGTTCATTACAATAAGATCCCCAGAGAACTAAAATTCACCATCTCCCATCCAGACATTTAAATTCTTGTGCAGTCTTGTCAGATTACTGGAATGCAAAATGATGAATCAATATCAAAACCTGGCTCTTTTCATTCTAATTTAGTTTGCTTTTAATTGCTCAAAGACATTTTCTTAAAGTTAGACATTCCCTACTGAACCTTCTAGAATAGAAAAATACCATAAACCACAGAGAGAACTGCACTAAATGAGGGATAGAAAAACATTTTCTATATTGTCCTTTTAATCCTACTAAAAAATTAAGTATACTTACATTTGAACCTGATTAAGTGTGTGTGTATGTATCTATTATTTGAAAGAAATGTATGTGTACATGTATGGGTATGAATAAAGTCTCACTTTGTTGTCATTACTATATTATGCATAACATAAAAAACATGGTTCCTCATTTTCAAATAAGGAAATCAAAAGGCAAAGAAGTGAACAAACTTGCTTTAAGCAAGATTTTAATGTAGGAGTTTGCATTCCAAGGTCTTTCCAGTATACTCTGCATGGGGCAAAGAGTGTGGATCAACCTCTCTTAAGAAGGTACCATTGGGCCCAGCATGGTGGTGCACACCTGTAATCCCAGCACTCAGGAGGCTGAGGCAAGAGAATTGCTGTGAGTTAAGACCAGCCTGGGCTGCATAATGAGTTCCAGGTCAGTCTGGACTACATAATGAGACTCTGTCTCAAAAAACAAAACAAACAAACAAAGAAGGAATTACTGTACTGCCGAGGTTTTCCAGGTCTGGTTCCCTTCTGTGGGTTTGCTGAAATATGGCACATCATGGCACATCTATACCAGTGATTCCCAACTAAAGCAATTTTGCATCTCCAGGGGGACATATGGCAAAATTTGGAGACATTTGTGGTTAGCAAAACTGGGAGGCAAGTGCTACTGACATCTAGTAGGCAGAAACCAGAGATCATGTTGAATATCTGCCGTTAATGGAGTGAGAGAGAAAACAAACGATTATCCAACCTCAAGTGTCAGTAGTACTAAGGCTGAGAAACCCTGGTCAACATTGTGAGTCTAGGAAGGGCTGACAAACTTAAGCCCAAATCATCTGTGAGAGACTGTGAACGTGATGGGGTTATCTGGATACAACCTGAGAGAGCAACTGTGATTTGGGATAAATTTCTGAGCACATTTAAATGTTCTGCTGGACAGAATAAACTCACTGGCGTGGAACTCTGGGTATGAAGCAACCTTCAATCCTTGGATATTTAGTGTAGGAATTTTATACACCATATTAGTATCTCATATGAGGCAAGCATACAACTCCAAAGCTGGCACAGAGGTTCAAACATGAGGAGCTGGTGCAGCAATGAAGGGTTCAGTTATTGAGGAGAGACAGTAACGCTGGGTGTGGTAGTGCACACCTGTAATCCCATTACTTAGGAGGCTGAGGCAGGAGAGTCACCATGAGTTCAAGGCTAGCTTGGGCTACATAGTGAATTCAAGGCAAGCCTGGACTACACAGTGAAACCCTGTATCAGAGAGAGAGGGAGAGAGACAGTGGGAGGGAAGGAGAGAGAAAGGGAGGGAAGGAAAGAGAGAGAGGGAGAGGGAAGAGATAGTTGAACGATTGCACAAAATGTTGAATGATCGGGGAGATGATGGGGAATAGTTAGAAAAGGCAATGGTGAGGCATGCAACCACAAGACAGAGTCAAAATGCATGGATCCAGAAAGGTCTGCCAGACCCCTCTGAGAGAAGTCTTCCCCCAGGGGGACGGAGGGCCATGCATAGTAGTACTTGGATTTTACCTGACAGAAGTTACTGAATATAGTGAACCCTTGACTTAAAAACTCCATTTGTTTGTGAAGGCTGTGTAACTCAAGCGGCCTGTAAATCAAGATTATTTTCTCATAAGAAATAAGGAAAAGACCCTCAATCAACTCCAAACCTCCCAGCCGGGCATGGTGGCACACGCCTTTAATCCCAACACTTGGGAGGCCAAGACAGGAGGATTGCTATGAGTTCAAGACCAGCCTGGGCTACATAGTGAGTTCCCGGTCAGTCTCAACTACATAGTGAGACCCTGTCTCAAAAAACAACAACAACAACAAAAAATCCAAACTTCCCAAAGAACCCCTTAACTAAACTTTTCAAAATAAAAAGGGTTGTATGTGTGTAATTTACCAGAAACACCAAGAATTTTCCTCATGTACTCACCAAAAAGTTGTAAAATGTGCCTAGTTTACCAGAAGCAACAATTTCATACCATATTCATCATTCAAGTTGACATCTTTGACTTGAAGAAAGGGAGGATAAAATGGCAGGTAGTTATTGTTTGGAAGGAGAATCCCCTTCCATAAGAACATGAGGAATCTGGTTCTCTGGTATCCTTTCTGTCCTTGGGAGAGTCTGTAGCCCATTAGCACCTGCTTCTGGCTCACTAGGTCTCAAACTTTTCAGAACTGAAAACTGGTTTACGGTTGTTTTCTTTAACACTGTTCTTTAGCATAACAGGACATTGTCATTAAGCAAGTGAAAGCAATGATTGGCTTTTTCTGTCTGGGTGGGTCTTCTCTACAAATGTTTGTAGCTCTGTCCAATTTTTCAGGATTTCCTTTATTTCAGATGAAGAATTTTGCTGCACTGATTACTGATACTCCCTTTCTTCTTCAGAAAGTTCCTCAGCTGCCATTCTGCTGCTTAGCCAGAAGTTGCTGAAGTTCCTCTGTAGACAGTTCCTCTGTGTGTTCCTCCACCAGGTCCTCAACATCACCACGGTCTACCTGCAGGCCTATGAACTCTGCTATAGTGACAGTGTCATCAACCACAGAGACAATTGAAGGCTCAGCTCCTCTACACAGCCTTCAAAGTCTCCCTCCTGTATAATTTTAGGCCACACTTTCTTCAAGGCAAATGTCAGTGTGCTTAGAGAGACAATGACCCAGGATTTCTCAGTTAACCCCACACAGGAAAGACCAGCATTTGGGTCGTAAGTCAAGAATTGGTCCTACGTTAAAACTAAAATTCTGGTCATGACCCATATTGTTCATATGTGAGGCCATTCATAACCTGAAAGGGTCCACTGTTCAGGTGTGATAGTTAACTGATTGTGTCAACTTCAGTGATAAATGTCCAACTAAACTGAATTAGCAGATTTTGGGTGTGGCTGAAGGAATTGACTGAAGATTTGCTGGGATGTACTGGGTGTGAAGGATAGCAAAGGATAGGTTTGCCACCTGAATGGTATAAAAGGGAAACAAAGAAGGAAGGCTCACTTCTGATTTTTTGGAGGAGCTCCAGTCTTCACCTTCAGCTTGGATGTTGTCTCCTGGATTCTAGCAGACTCTTCAGCTTTGTCCTGCAGACCCCTCAGCCTTCTATCATAGACCCTTTTCCCCACCTACAGTGGCAGAAGCCTCTCCTACAATACCTGAAGAAACTAATCCTGTGCTGACCAAGCTGGATAATGCTGGCACTACTCTCAAAGCACCTTCATCACCCATTTTTGCCTCTAGGCCCATAACCAGGCTCAAATCATAGGAGGCTCTTTAGGGGGAGTGACATACATACTGTAAGCCATGAAGAGGTCGGCTGTTCTCCCAAAGAACTTCTCTAATTCTCATAAGCACCAGCCTGATGAGATTATGTGTGTGGGATAATGGTGACAAAAACACATGAACCAGTTAATCCAAGATTCTGATTTAATGTTGATACCCCTAGAGTAAAAAGAGGTGCTAACAGTTTATTTGTCTGGGTGGCAGATGTATGGGTCAAAAGATGGGCCACTGTGTATGAGTTAGAGATGCTGATATTCCACGGTTTACTGTTGATGAGAGGATTCACAGGCTCAGGGAAATGGGAATGCTAGAGTGGATTTGTCATGTTAAACCAAATCCACCACAATGGGATGATCCAGAAAATGTACCCTTCACTAACACCGTGAGAAACAGATTCATGAGGGGA